AAACAAATTGTATCTTGTAAACATCTAATGTTGATTGCTAGGGCACTTCGGCAGTTTTTCATTCTCATCCTTTTGACAAGATGAAGGGTTATTAAGGAAGGGTGCTTGAGCAGAAGCGATTTTAGAGAGAGGGAGAAGGGCGTGATAAAAAGGGAGTTTAAATAGGTCTCAGTGTTACTTGAGGCAGGCTTGACTAGGTTTCAAGCTGTAACCTCAACTCTTGAATATGCTTCACGGGTGTTTGAAATACACCGTTGAGAATCTTTTGGTTCTGCACTTGACTTCTTGTTTCTGGAAAGTGTTTCCTGTGTGAGTGGCATCATCCACCAGACGTGCACGGTGAGTTACTATTAATTAGCAGCAGCACCAGCATCCTCCGATGACAACTACCTTGGGCAAAGACACAAATGCACAATCTGGCACCTAGTGAGAGAGGCTGGTTGGCCTGGAAGCCAGAAGATCCAATTTTATTTGTGATTCTGGCAAAATATTCATGTATGCCTATGAGAAATGCCTTAAGCCTGGCAAGTCTTTGTTTTATACCCATGGAAAAATAGAAATTTTTTTTTTTTTTAAAAGCAAACTGTTAGGATGGGTATAATTTCTCTCTGTAGAGTGCCTGGTGGAAAGGGACCCCTGTCTTCTGTTGACTTCAAACTGTGCTTGTGATTACCCACCACTGGTGCAAGGTGTCAGTGGCTATTTATGCAATTCTTAATATTGAGAATAAAAGATGTGGAAAGTGGAAATTGTGAACAAACTGATATATGCACACCATTTAGAACCGCTCAAAAAAATATACCAAGAGGCATAACTGCTTCTGGACATGTGTTTTCCCTGCATTTCAGTAGACTTAATTGAGTTCTCTGGAACAAGTTACAGACTAATTGTATCCTGTAGTTATTTTCAGCGTAGTTCTCTAAATTTGATCTCTGTTACATACCATAAACACAGGCATTGGTACGGGAATGCAGTGAGACCATGCCTAAATGTTTGTTTTCCCTTGCTTCTAAGAAATTGTATATCCTGTTTTCCGTAAGTGGGTGGGCTGTAACAATGTCTTCTGGCAGAGTAAAATAAATGTTAACTTGGGTTAAATGCAGTAACTTTACTACGAAAAGGTAATGGCGAAAACAGTATATGCAGCATAAACGGTGGTACCGTGTAGCTTCTTGGAAGTGGTGTGGTGGTTTTCCTAAAATTCACTGTTTGCATGCCCACTTCCACTGGTCCTCTTACAAAAAAAAGAAAAAGAAAATTACTTATGCTTTAGGTTCTATATCATCATAATCTTACAGTTTCAGCTCATTTCCCATCCTAGCCACCCCTTCCCACTTAAAAAAAAAAAAAGCAAAACAAACAACAACAACAACATTTTAGACATCTCCTGTTGATAATAACTTCCAAATGGAAATCAGTTGCAGCTGGTTCTTCGCACTTTAACCCTTTGTCTCCTGGCCTTCCAGGAAATAATTGATGACTGATTGGCCCATTAACCTTTTTTTAAAAAAAAAGGTTGACAGCCTGGACTTGTGTAATGAGGAGGGATTCCTAGTGAAATCAGGTAGATGGCTGAGTTGCTTGCCCCTGAGGATGCAAAATTAGCCCCGCGGGACCTCGTCTGCATAGAAACTGGACACAATTAGTGTAATATCCGGTGTTATTAATGTAGTTTGGAGTAATTGGGCAGGTTGATTTCGACAGGTTGATGGTGCTAAAATACTATTATAGTGGACCTTTCTATGAATAACTGTTAAACATGGAAAACTGTTTAATAAAACTTTGTGATTGGGCTCACAGGGATTTTAATAGCACAACCTATAATTTTTCTGAAGAGTAAAACTGAACAATTTCATTCTGCTGCCTAGATTTTCCTGTTCGTGTATGCGGTGATGAAGGACGTACATGTTCGCTACTCGTCTTTGGTAGGCATTGCCCTGTGGGTGATGCGGAGCAGGCGCTTTGTTTCACAGTTGTGCTTACAAAAAAAAATTTGGTGTATTTAAGCAGAAAATGCGTTCTTGAACACATCTTCAACTGGCATAGTTGCTTTTCGTGTGAGCTTTTTAGGGAGTAAACCTGAAGCTTCAGCGGATGTAAGAGAGTGCAAACTTGCATGTTCTTAATGTATCATCAGCCGATGACCAAGTTTTCAGCTAACTTACTGATGAACTGAAAATGTTCTTCCAGCCCAGCCTTAAAACACACTTCAGCCCTTGTAACCCGCGGTGGGGCCGTCCTGGGACATACTCACCGACATGTTACGCGGACTTTGTGATCCCGAGCCACAAAGGCCGTGCAAGGTCTTTACAGCTTTTGTCACAGTGTCAGCTGGTCACAGCAGAAAAGGTCAGGAGATGAAACACGGGAGCCTCTCCTTGGGGAAAAGGAGACGTGGCGTATAAAAGAGCAACCACGGGAAATGGCTGGAGGTGTTGCCTGAATAGCTGGGTTTGTGTCCTCTGCCATAGGTCTCCCGTAAGCAGGCGGATAACTTTGTGTAGCATTTCTGGAAAACAAAGCTTGCAGAGGTACCGCTGCGAGGACGGTATTTCAACCTCGCTTTTAAACGGTACACTGGCTGAATTGCAGAGTTTATTTCTCATAAGCCCTTCTTGGGCAAACCAGCTTCGTGTATATGATCGGGATTATTGGCAAATAGGAGACAGGAGGATTCAGTGATGCTGCATCTTGATTGTACATATTTCTTTTAAGGTCTGGAATTGTAATGCCGGAAAGTCACCTAGTACTGAAATGCTGGGATGAACTGATACAGGATTAGTGCAGAGAGACTCTCTGAAGATATACCATATATACTTGTTGAGCATTAGTTATATACCACGTATACTTGTTGAGTTGTTATGCGCTGGAGAAGTCTCCTCTCTCGTTGTGCTCTTCTGTGTCTTTGCGCCCCTACGGGGCCTGCTCCCTGCTTGAACAGGAGGTGTGGGGAATTTTTAACTTGAGGTGGCAAGATGACTATTTTCTGTAGTAGGCAGCTCCTTAAGCTTATACCGAGCCTTTGGTTTACGTGGAAGTGGTATGGTGTATGGTCAGGGGAGAGAGGTGCAGGGAAAATACGATGCAGCCTGGAGCAGAGCTGCGAGTGGAGAAGGGAAGGGCGGCGGGAGAAGGGCGTGAGGTGCAGAAGATGGAGTGAGGCTGAGAAGGGCCTTTGTTACTGCGTATTGCAGGATCCCTGCCGTAACAGTACGCGTGTCTCAGTACCACCCACACTGAGTAATTTATACAGAAGGATTTTCTGAACATTTAGTGACCATCATTTGGAATTCCTCCTTTAGTAAGACTTCAGGAGTACAAGATTTTATCGCTTAGAAGCCATTGAGAAGCCTAAGAATGATGAATTTCCTGAATTAGGCTCTACAGGGGGCTTGCTTCAGGTGGGATTCAGTTTTTCATGTTCTTTTCCTTCACCTGTTCTTGCCAACATTTGCACTACTCTGCATATGCCTGTACCCTCCCCACTGACCATATGCCATACCACTTCTGTGTAAGTAGAAGACCGTAACTGTGTTGTCCTACAAGAGACAGCGCACAGGACTAAGCGTAATTTCCTTTCTTGTTGAGTAATTCCTCTTACATCTTCCTCACAAACTCTTGAAAGCACTGTTTGACAAATGTGGCTTTTTCCATGATTTAATCATAGCATTTTGGATAACGAGTCTGCCTGTTTGTTTTTGACACAGTGTTGCTAAAGTGAAAAGTAGTTACAGTCGTATAGTTGCATCATTTCTCTTATCTTTCTTTTCCTGCTTATCACACATGCTTTTTTTTTTTAGTAAAACTGCTGCTTCATGCAGCTCATGCACCTGGAAATAACCTTCACCTCTGTGTTTATTCTCACCTCAAGGCGCAAAGTAACCTTCTGCTATTTTGGGGGGCATCATTAAAGCAGCATAAGCACTGGCCTTGCTAGCGTGGAAAACCAGTTGGCCCATAGGTTGAGAAAAATGACTGCCAGTGAGCTGCAGTTCTGTCTTTAAAGCTAGTGCTAGATTTGTCACTTATCTTTGCCTGCCTGTGGATAACAAGGTAATGCAGGAGTTTCATGGCTCTGAATATATAATAAGTCATTAGCAGACAAGCGGATGTAAATGCTCTTTTCTAAAGTCCATTATGGCTGATGTTCACCAGAACTTTGTGGTCTATTATTCTGTTCCTTTCATGCTTCATGCCTGCCCTTCCCAATTCCACTCGCTCTGTTTCAGCTTCCTTGATCTTTTTAATTTGACTTTGGTGTCCCATGTGTCGTTAGAGTATGTGTCCATTTAGTTCAGTTCTGCTGGTATTTTCATATGCTGCGGTCCTCTGGCCTGAATACTTGTCCTTATACTCTAGTAGCCCTAAGGATATTTCATTGACCCTTTCTGCTAGCTTCTCAGATCATTTTCTCATCTCCCGTGTTGAATGTGAATGTTGAATAGGTTGAACTGATTTTAATCCTGTATTATAAGCCAGTGTATTTATGCTGTAGACAAGAAAATGTACACATCCGCTTTTAATGTATCTGTGCATGTAAAAAACTGCTTGAAGGAAGAGGGTAAATGGTCAAACTTTCTGTATTGTCAGCTCTTTATAGTCCGGTCATCTTTTAAGTTATTTTGCGACGCGCTTTGATTTTTACATTCTGTAGCTCTTAGCCCCTCAGGTTTAAATCTAAATAATGCTTGTTAGCCACTTTGTATTCAAGAAAGGTATAGACTTGATACCGAACTCACAAACGCACACTGAATATTTACTGAATATTTACCCCAAACAGTACTTTATCTGCATAACATTTGGAGAGAAAAAACAGTGGATCCACAAGTCGTTTTCTGATTGTATTGTGGAATTGCAAGGTAGTTGGCTATATCTAGCCTCAAACCTCCAATGTCCAGATCTGCGTTTGCTTGTTACGTTGCAGAAATGCTCATCAAATGGGATTGTTTGAGCCTAGTTATCGACTTAAAACTTTTCTTCCTCTTGCGTGTTTTTTTCAGAACAAGAAGAAAACTTTGAGTTTATCATTGTCTCTCTCACCGGCCAGACTTGGCACTTCGAAGCTACCACATATGAAGAAAGAGATGCGTGGGTACAAGCCATAGAGAGTCAGATCTTGGCCAGTTTACAGTCATGTGAGAGCAGCAAGAACAAGGTACGGTGCACAGAGTAATACTGAAAGTAAGAAATGGGTGGATGATCGTTAAGATGAAAGCAAAATCAAGAACTCTGAATTTTAAACCTGGGCTCCTAGAGACGTGCATGTATTACGCACACGACAGAGCAGCGTTAGAGCTTCATGCATATCTCATATTTCAAGACAGCTGATGCTGTAGCCTGTTTTACGGTTTATTTTTTACAGCAGTTGAATTGATGGAGCTCCTGGATTATCTGTTTTGCCTTCAGTATTGCTGTTTAAAATTTCGATTGAAGCTTGGGGCTAGGTCATGGACTCCCCCTACTGAGTTGTTGGGTAGTGTACTCACTGCTGCAGATGCAGGTTTGATTCAGGTTAGCGGTCTGCAGAAGGCCCTTGAGGAAAAGCCTGTCTTGGAGAAGAGTGGAGGCAGACCCAAAAACTAGCGTATTTACTAGTCAAATCTCTAGTTAAATCTACTAAGCTCCTGCATGGCAAAATTTAACTACATGTTCTGGTTGGCCTAACCACAAATGCGCAGTAGCATTCAGCCATAGGACTCTGCCGTGATGAAGTAATACGAATCACAGAAATCGAAATGAAGCTATTGCTTTTGTCTCTGTTGCTTTACAAAGCATACGCACAATTTTTCTTTTCTTTAATTACACTGAATTAATTTTTTATGGTTTTCTGCCTTAACTAATATAACAGAAAGCTAATTCAGAAACAGTTCATCAAAGCTTTTTGGAGGAAGATGACCATTGTCGAAGAGGTACAGGCCTTCTGCCTTGCAATGCTTTTGTATGATGACAGAAGTAATTTGTTCTCCTTTCCTGACTAAATAAATAAATAAATGTTTAAAATCTGAGAATTCTTCAGCCATTGCTCATTTTTGGAAGGGCAGGAGAACGTCTGCTTCTTGAGTCTCTGTGCTTGCAAACACTTCACAACTAGAGAGCGAGGTGTGGAGTGGTAGTGGAGGGAGAGAAGTGAGGAGTAATTATTGAGACCTATAGATCCTTTAACATTATCCGCCTAACAGATGTCTTTAATGATTTTATATTGCAAGGAGGAGACTCATATTTTGAAATGAATGCCTGCTTTCATTGCCCTGATCTACCAGAGTAGATCAGACACCAGTAATTATCATCATCATAATATAATTTACTTCCCATTTGGTTTAAAAAAATTATTTATTTCCAATATGTGTTTCTGAGATAGAGAAAAATGACTGCCTATATGTTTGGGGGTTTTTTCCTTTCATGGATTTACGCATTCGGCTATGTGTGTTAAGGGAGCACAATAGAGGAAATTCGTGCACTAACACCTATATAAAAATACTAACACAAAAGAGGATGAAGTGTGGCTGGTAATATTTACTCTGCAGTACCCACAAAGAAGATTGGCCTTTGTGCGTATTAAATATTCTTTTGAAAGGGAGAATCCGTTGATAAGATTATGCGTGTACAGGGAGCTTTTTGGGTTATATATTCAACCCGCTACAATGTTCAGAGAGGTTTTTTTTTCTCTAAAGTATTACTGAGGTCTCAAAACATGTCGTTAGAACTAGCTGGAATAGCAAAGTGTAGTTAGTTGGGCAGGTTTAGTAGATGTCCTGTTGATAGATCAGGAGGACATATCTCCACATGGCCATACTTAAGACCTGGTCCTCATCCTGCTTAAATCAATTTGTTGCAAAGAGTGCATTATTTGGTAGAGCTAACAATTTTCTTCTCATAAAGCCCACAAAACAGTTTGGTTGGGTAGAGCTGAACTACTTGTACATCGTGACGGTCTCTCCAGGTCCAAGTAGAGGAGGTCATTGGCAGGTCATCGTGTAGAGAATTTAAATGGGAGCCGTCTGATTAAATCTGACCTTTTGATGATAAAAAGGTTTCAGTTGCTTTTGCAAACCATCCCTTAGTCTTCATTAGCAAAAGCATAAGCATCAATAAAATAAATTGATTTTATAAAATCATACTCTTATCTAATTTATCTCAAGAAGTAAACCTATACTGTGACCACTTTACTTGGGAATAGGAGGGTTCATTTTGAAACTCTGTTTTCCTCTGCACAGTCTCCCCACTTGTTAGAACCCAGACTGGAGACCCCAAAACACTGGGAGCAGTGGGCAGGGTGGAGAAGTCCTGAGCTGTCAGAAACATGGGAGGAAAGAGGAGTCCCTGCTTGGCAGGCGTGAACTTGCAGTACTTGGAGATGCCAAAGGATCACTATTGCTTGAGAGGCAAACCAAGGACTTGGGTTCCTTGATCCCGTTCATTCAACCTTGGACTAAGCTTTGGGTTTTGCTTTTTGTTCAGCTGACAGTGTGTCATCTAACCCTTTTTATTGGGTTCTTATTTGTGGCTTATGCATTTCTTTAAATCCCCGCAGTCCCGCCTGACGAGTCAGAACGAGGCCATGGCCCTTCAGTCCATAAGGAACATCAGAGGCAATTCCCACTGTGTGGACTGTGAAGCACAGAGTAAGTACAGCCGCTTGGCTTCAGAAAATTGACCTCTTCTCCTTCTTGGCCAAGACTACTTCTTGGCCAAGACTTAGGTGAACACCCACCATGGGCTTTGTCTTTTTCAGTATTACGTTCCACATGTTGTTTGAACATTTCTTCTTCATTATGGAGTTTGCTTAATCGGACTTATTTTATGTTAATTCATGCTTAATATGTGCTATATGAGATGCATCCTAATTTTTTCCCCTTGTTGTTTCACATGCCACTTTAAATGTCAGCATTTCTTTACTTTCCTTTGAAGAAAAGGAAAAAGTAGTTTGCTGTTTGACATCAGTTACTTACTTTTTCCTCCTATTTTGCATGGAGAGGGCATGTGTGCCATGGTAATATTTTCAAAGAGGTAGAACTCGATCAGTGTTTTTTTGGTTTGGTTTTTTGGGGGTTACTTGTCAGAAGAAACAAAAGTCATTGCCCATTATATCTGCGTACTAGAAAACTGATTTGGGATTTTTTTTTCTCCCCTTTGTGTTTCTTTCCCTTTTTTTTGTTTTTTAAAACATATACTTAGTGTTCAGGAAAGTGTTCTCAAGAATACTTTGAGCTGTGGTTCACCTCACTAATCCCGGCTGAGGTCATTATTCTGGTGCTCTTTAGTTCCAGGGGTTTGCAACAAAGCCATAAAAAGGAAGTACTCTTGCTCTAAAGCAATTAGTTGTAGAAGCAGAAAGATTGAGAACTTGTGCATTTTCATTTCTTTGATATTTGAAAGTCAGAACTTTTCTTGTGATTTTTACATGTGCTTAAAATGGAAAAATATTCATTTATTTTTCTTTGGGTATAATTTTTTTTTTAAGACTTGCTGGTCAGAATTTTGACTGCTGGTCTAAGCTATTCTAACATCCCAGTTAACTTTAAAATGAACATTGATTTGGAAGTGCAAGTGCTTTTGCATGACTAATTTGCTATCTGTATAGTTAGCAATTTAGCCGATTCAGTCATCCACCAAACAAACCTATTACCCCCTGCCTCATCCTCAGAAGGCTTGAAGGGAAGGTGGTTAGCACATTAACAGCCGTTTAAAATAAAACAGATTTTTCCATACATCAAAATGTGCTTCACATGATTTTAATTGCTTCTTTTGAAAACCGTCAGATATTCGTATGCCGTCCATAGGAGGTGGATGAAGAACAAAGGCAGCTGCCCTGTCCCCGGCGAAACAGGGACGTGAGCCCTGGCTGGACCGGGCTTTGAGCACCAGGACTGGGATGCTGTCAAAACAGCTTGTTGGCCTGCTGGAGGGAGATCCCAAAGAGAGATTTCACAGGGACTTTTCACAGACAGAGAGAAATAATAGCAACGTGGATAAATTAAGGTCTTTACATTCCACTGGCTAGTAATCCAGCAGGCGATAAACAAGGGAAAATGTTGGTTTGGCTGGTATTTTAACATATACAGCCCGAAGACTCTTATTTATTAGTTTTCTTTCATATTCACCTGGCAGTCATTCAGATTTACGCCAAAGCTTTGATATAGATCAAGTAAAAGGCATATAAGATGCTGTGCTGTGTAGGAGAAGGACGGGATCTTCAAGTGACCTAGAATGTATATTTAGCTCATTTGAAGTACTCGCTGCTGTCTGTGCGCAGACCGCAAGGGGAGTGTTAGTGATTCCTGCTCCAGTCTCTCTCTACAGCTGTGGGTGGCATTTTCCCAGACCCCGCTAAGTGGTCACCCAGGCAGAGTGGGAACGTGCAATCCCTTCACTGCAGACGACTTCCCACACCCACGCATGTCTTTTCAATGTATGTGTGATCCGTTTCAGCTCTGCCTGCATTATCCCCAAGGTGTGTGTTTCTCTCCCCAGTCTTGCACATACCCCAGGATTTATGCAGCCAAGCTGGATGTTTAATAGGAAAATGATTGTGCAAGAAAGCAGCACTTTTTTCCCCCCCCACGCTTTCAGCCAGGTTGTTTTTCATCCAGATTGCTTCATGGGTCAAGCTGGCCACGCGTGCACGGTGCCAGCAGAAGGGATGTGCCAAGAACATGTTGCTGAGAGAGGGCAGAGTGGGACTGCCCTTTTTGGCAACGCTCAGCGCTTGGTTGTGTAGCTTTTTGGGGGGGGAGTGTGTGATTTTGGAATCTCAGCTGGAACCTCTCTTAATTGTTTGCATTCTTGGAGATGATTTAAACCCTCTTTGACTCTTCTTGCCATTTGGTCTTCCTAATTTTAAGTCCACCATCTTTCCTTTTGAAAAATTTGAGATATTTCCAAAGAAATGTATCTTAAGATATAAACATGCACATGAGGTGAACTTCAGCCCGCTGCTTTTTCCGCCAGGCTTTGCTTTATTTCCTTCTCTCCCTTTCTGCCTTGCCTGGGCAAGTCCTTACCCCTGGAGCATTTAGCATCACAAACACCAGCGCTCTTGTGGAAAGCTTACGTAGTTTGCATCTTCACAAAGCCAGATGTTTGGGAGCAAAGGAATATGAGATGTTGCTGTCCCTCAGCTCTATTCAGGAGCCATCAATCTTCCACTTCAGAAGTCTCATTCTTCCTCTTTCTAGAGCTCTTTGCCTTTTTCGCACTTCATCACAGCACTTTGTTTTCACCAGGGACTTTCTGCCTTGTTGTATGTTAATCGGCAGCAGTAGTACCAGCAGCATCTGTGTGCCACCAGCCTTCTGGCCTTTGGCAGTCTCAGACTGAAGTTTTTAAGTCCTTTTTTTAACGTTCCCATCCCAGAGCAATAGATGAGGCAAAATGCTCTTTACATGCCGGAGTTTTTGCCCAAGAAGATCTCATTTCATGTTTCAGAAGGAAGCTGATGTTGCCTTTTCCCAAAGCATTGGAGTCCCGGTGCTGACTTCTGTCTGGAGGAGGCTCTGAAGATGGTCAAATTGCTCAAACTCAGCTAAATTCCCGCCACTGAAGGATTTTAGCTCTTCCAGTCTTACTGCTTAAAAAGCAGATGAGAGGATAAATATGAGTCACTCTTTCAAGATATCTGGAGAGCATGGAATATCAGGTCTTTTCTGTTGTAGAAGAAAACAGGGAGGGGCTCAAGAGGGAGAGTCTCATCATGAGTTTTCCAGTCCAGGAGTCTAATAACTTACTATGGTGTATTTTGTATTTGAGAGCCAAACACTGAAGTAGTAATTTGGGTGGCCCCGGGAAGCCTATCAGACCCATCACAGGATTCAATTTTATGTTCAGAATAGAAAAAAAAAGCTTTTAAAGAATAGAAAAGATGTAAACTTTTCTCTCTTTTGCTGCAACTCTTTGCAAGATGCTCTCGCCCCCTGCTTCTCCTTCTTGCCCTGGCTCTTCTGCTCCTCCCTGCCCCTCTTCTGCTCAGCCCAGCGCTATCTTGCACGTGCTGAACTCATCAGGATTTAGCATGGCAAAGCATTTCATCAGCAACCTCATGTCCAAAGGGATGAAGGAGGTGGTGGGGAGGGATGGTTCTCCTAAAAGAGCTGTTCCAAGAGCTTTCACCTTCAAATGCACTCAATCTGATTGAGGTGCAAGTCAAAGTGGCGAGGGGGTTTTCAGAGAAGGAGAGAACGAAACGCCTTTAAAAATATGGGCAGCTTAAAATTGTAATCTGGGAATATTCAGTGATGTTTAAAAGGTCATATTTGTTTGACAGTTTGTAAGTAAAACAAAGGAAACTAGCTTTATAGCACCTATAGCTGCATTGAATGGGTTTTTTCCGTCTTTTACCGTCAAATTTGGATGTATATGCATACTGGAGAAAAGCCTGTCACGTACTTGTAAGTATTCTGAGCATCCTCCAATTCCAAATTACTCTTAGCATCAGCAGGAGAAGTGAGCTGATTTTTGATCATCTAAAAAGAAGGAAAAAACCAGCTTGAATAGTTATGGCTTACTAACCACGTGTGGTTCCTTTCCGTATAAATCAGTGGTAACAAAGTTCAAGCATGAGATTTAAAAAGTGCTCAACTGCATACGGGAAGAGGAAGATGCAGATAGGAGCAGTGAACTGAAAACAAGGACATCCCTGAGCGTATAGTTTACAACAGCTTGCCTTTATTATTGTTGGGTGGTGACTTCTGTTACCTGGCATACCTCATTTTGAGAACAATTTTGCATGTGCATACGCTGAAACAGATGTCGTAAGTGACATCATGTCAGTTTTTTCCCAGAATCCATCGAACAATGCCACTTGTCCAAGCTCCTCATTAGAGCCCTGTCTTGCTCCGCGTTACTCAGTTGTAACCAAGATCAACAAGTCTGGTTTTTCACTGGATGTCCATAATGAGTTCAACACTTGCCTTTCCTAGTTTGCCACCTTCAAACTCAGCTGTGTGTTGTCAGATCATTGAAATTTAAAATACTATCTTGACAAAATTTCATGTAACTTCTTGGTTATCGCTTTGGTGGACTACTTCAATCGTACCAGCACTGTCAATTGGAAGTAGGTGAATATTTAAAAAATTTGTTCAGTAAAAGATACACTAGATGTGCTTCAAGTACACAGAGGTATTTGGGAGGGAGATCAGGTCCTTAACATCAGTTCTGTTAGAATAATTGGAAAAATATTAATCAGTATTTTTTCTCTTGCTTTGTTCTGAGTTTGTGCTTCTTTGAGCTCATTGCACTTTTTACTGTTGTGAAGATAACCCTGGCCTTTGCAGGTCAGGGGCAGAGATTTCATTCCGAGACACAGTTTGCAAATTTTAAATGATTATCTGCTCTGTTTAAGCTTTTACCGACAAATTAGTATTTGGGATTTTTAGTGTGTTTCATATATACTACTGGTTTCCCCACTGGCAAGCCACCGAAAGTAACACTTTTTATTGTTGTGAAGATAACCCTGGCCCCCTGGTCAGGGGCAGAGATTTCATTCCGAGACACAGTTTGCAAATTTTAAATGATTATCTGCTCTGTTTAAGCTTTTACCGACAAATTAGTATTTGGGATTTTTAGTGTGTTTCATATATACTACTGGTTTCCCCACTGGCAAGCCACCGAAAGTAACTGGTGGAGGCGTCCTGAAGAAATACTCAGGAAAGGAGTTTGTCACGGTTGTTTTACCAAGGACTTGGAAAGCATGGAAGGAGTTTTGTCTCACCTTATTTTTTTGAGATCTGAAATGCTGTATATTCCTAGTGCAAGACTTGGTATGGGAACTTTTAAACAAAAGATCTGTTTATCTGCTCAAGTGAATTAAGATGGGGGATTTTTCTTGTTGGGGATGTTTTTAGATTCCTAAGGACTGACTGAAAAATGTAAATCAATGCCTTCAGTGAAATGTGGGACTTTGCAATTAAAATTATCTGCTTTCCTTTCATATTTTTTGTCCAAACGTGACGTGGCAAGGAACTAGGAAACGTTTTGTTTTCACATATTTTAGCTGCCAAAAATAACTTTTCGATTTTGGGTTACATAAAATAGAAATGAGTCTTTGGATGAAATTTCCCTGAATGGAAGGGGACACTGGCAATTCATTTTCTATCAGCTCTAGATTTTATTTAGATTTGAATAAAAATTGCCTGCCCTCTCAATTAATCACGATTTTCCTGCTTGGCATTCGTGATAGCCTACTAGTTCTTTAGGAGGCCCAGGGTAAGGCGAGAAGAAAAGATCTGACAGCAGGAGGGGGCAGAAAAAAAAGCCACCAAAAATTCCTCCCGTATGTCTTTCATTGCATTTGTTAAAATGCATGTTTGTTGGAGAGAGGGAGATTCATACAAATCTAGATTTAAATAACACAGGACAGTGACAAAAAAGTGAACCATCTTGGGAAATGACTTTGAATTTCCCGGCTTTTGTCAGGTTTGTCTCAGCCTTATCGTTTGTGGGGTTATTTTTGTGTGTGTGTGTGTCGGTGGAATCCTTCTGGCTCGTACACTAAAACTGGAACTGTTCAAAGTATCACATTTTCATCTTAGTACTTATCTCCCTGATCTTAGAGATGAAAACATACCCCATAGTGTGTTAGATGTAAAAGCCATATGTAGGTGATGATATAGATGGTTATTAAGGGAGTTGATATAGTTAGCAACAGAGACATGGTATCTAGTCGCTCTTTTTTTTCCCCCCCTCCTTTTTCCCTTGTAATTGGCTACGAGTGGCTCTAGATTCCCAAGGAGGGGCTTTCTCCACTACTTCATCATCAGCTGCCTGCCACTGCGTTTATATTTTCTTTGTTTCTTCTTTTCTCTCTAATTCATATTTTTCTTTTGACTGAAGGTGGAATGACACATCTTTTGAAACACCCCCCTCCACAATTTTTTTTACTCCTTGAGGGTTTCTCAGAAGGGTTAGTATCTCCCCCGGGCAAAATTGACCCTTCTGGAAGATCTTCCAGCTGTGCTTTTGGACCGAACATCTGCATTTTTTTCCCCTGGAGCCAAAATCTTTATCCACAAACGTTAACTAGAAAGTTTTGTTAGGTGTTCCATTGTACTAACTGTTTGTGTCCCATTTCCTGTAGACCCCGACTGGGCCAGCTTGAATCTGGGAGCCCTCATATGTATCGAATGCTCAGGTATACACCGAAACCTTGGCACGCACCTCTCCCGGGTCCGCTCTCTCGACCTGGATGACTGGCCTATAGAGCTCATCAAGGTGATGTCTTCTATCGGGAACGAGCTGGCAAACAGCGTCTGGGAGGAGAGCAGCCAAGGCCATATGAAACCTTCATCAGACTCCACAAGGTAGGCTTTCCTCCTCCACAAGGTAGGCTTTCCTACTCCTTCTCACCGTGGCACGCAGCGGGCAGGTAGTATGTGATACTGCACGTGGCCGAGGCTGTAAGCTGTGAGCACATAAATCCTCATTTTGGCATTGCAGTCAGAGGTGGTAGGGCGTTACAACGTTTTACAACCTGGACTTTAAAATTCTCCCTTGAAGTAAACCTTGTAAAAATCATTACGTATATATATCTTCACTGGATGCCTGGGAAGAACGTGTGTCAAAGTGGGGGGTGTCAAAAGTTGAGTGACCCCGTTACTTTTTCACTCTTGTGAAGGTTTCCTCAGCAGCTCTATAATTTTTTTGTTCAATTGACTGACCGACAAAACAGCGGGAGATTGAAACCCTCCCGCCTGGTTGTTCCTCAATCTAAATTATACTGTAATGCCTGCCTTGCTTTGGTCAGCCACAAAGTTCCTGGCTCTTGAACTATCAATTTGTGATTAATAATCTGCCTTCAGTAGTTCCAGCTCACCCAGAATTTGTACCTGGCCGTCAGGTCTTTGGGTTCTCATCGCAGATGTTGAAAGTCCTGCTCACTGTGGACTTGCTTATTTTTTTATGTGATACATGTGAAGGCGTAAGCTGATGGGGGAGTGTGCGTTTCCTATGAGAACAGTATTTTACCTACCAGTCAGAGCTCAGCACAGTGAAAATCTTTCTGCGATGCGTTGTCCAACCAAAAGCTAAAGGTTTTTTATGCATAATTTATCTGATCGGTGTCAAAGGAGGAGGATGTTCTGCAAACACAAAATGGAAGTGCTAATAGTTATAACTAAGGTATTGGCTTGGGGGAAGCAGAGTGACCTCTGGCAGACTGCGTTTTAGCAGGAGGGTTCAGGCAGGAGAAAGACCTTCTGGACTACCTTGCACAGCTGGGCCAATCTTTGAAGTTGTCTTCAAAAGTGCCTTATAATTGTCTTAGGGCGAGCTCCAGGGGAGCGGCCTGCATCCGAGCACTGGTCGGTCCCCACGTAGCAAACGGCACGATGGAGGTTTAGCTCTCAGTGTTTGCCTCCTGCATATGAGAGAAATCAGAGGGAATTGTGTTCTGATTTTGTTTATCTATATTTCTGGATCCTGCTTTTCCCCGTACCGGATCAAGTGAAATTATAACCTGGGAGCGTATACCTGGGCCACCTCCTGCGGTGTGGGAGTAGGTTTGTACTGTTGTCTGTAATAAAGTTAACTGTTTCTTATTGCGTTATTTCGTTAGCACTGAAAAATGAATTTGTGGTGCCACCTTTGGTTCATCTTCGAGAATGAAGCCGGTACATTAATCAGGCTACTTAGATGAATGACTATGCATATAAAAATATTCAGGGAGACCTACACAGAGATTTTGTTCATACATAAACAGTATGTCTGCTGTATACATGTATATTATTAGACAGCTAATATAATGATTTCATCAGGTAGATTGAAATCAACTTATTGCTGCCTTTCAGTCAGCAGTCTTATTGACTCCAGAGATCTTATATTGTTGCAACTAACAAATATATGTTGCTCCTTACTACTGAGGTGAGCTGGAGAGATACCTCAATTCTAAATACTTTTAAAAGGAAAAGGCATACACTCAACTGGATTTTTATTTTTTTAAAAAATATTATTTTAGTATACGTGTGATAAAGATGATATCATGAAAAATCTAAAATACACGTGAATGTGATGAAAAGAGAGCCATCCATTTGAATTGAATTATTCAGGTTTTTATGTTTGGAAGTGAATTTTACTTATAGAAAATCAACTTTGTTCTCTTTGTATTTCATGCTCAGAGCTTATTTTAATTCTTCGTTGTTTCTGTACATCTTCGTGTTTACATTCAGCTGTTTATGTTTGTCAGTGACATAATTGCACTTTTTTCCCTGGACACTAAGATTTTTGAACAAAAGGTACAAAGATTCATTTTATAAATATGCATTTCCATCTGCGTGTCCAAGTGCACACTTACGTGATGGAAGAGCTGTTAAAAAAAACCAGAATTAAGATTATGTGAAAATTTTCCCACAAAGCAATTGTAATCTTGCTTTGCTACTCCCATTTTTTCCACTCTTTGCAGCGGGGACTGAAGTGATGTTTTTCACATAAATATCTGAAAGGTCTGCTTTTTGAAAATGTGTGCCTCCTTTTGTACTTTACTTTGGTCTTTACTAGCATCATAATCCTTCTGTCCAAGATGTGGCAAGAAAATAAGTTCGAGGTCTTTAGATATAGGTTATGCATTCTATTTTCTCGCTGCTGTTTGTAGTTTTGCATGAGGAATCCTATCAGAAGCAGCTACAATGGACCTGAAGTGGGGTTAAACAAACCCCCCGTTTTTTTGTTGTTGAGGGACTGAAGGGGGAAGAGGCAACTGAAGTTGAGGGACTGGGGGAAGAGGCAAGAAAGTAAGCAAGTAGGAAGATGACTGGGGAGCTGAGATGTGGAGTTCTGGTGGAGGAGGGATGGAGGGGAGTCCAAGGATATTTGGAGATCAGGGAAGAAAGAATCATTCAGCAAAACTTCTTCTGATGGGGAAGAGAGCTGATAGCTAGTGTCGGGAGACTGTTCCTGCCCATGCTGGTGTCTCCTGGATCAGTTGGAGTCTGAGAGCTGCTATATGCAGAGGTTCACACGCTCAACATGCTCCCGCTTTAATGAGTTCTCTTCTCACCAAAACCCCATCAGATGGGAGAGGGAAGTACTCCAATGTTTTCCTCCAAGTTTCTCCTGAACCTGTTCATATCCCCGTTCCCTTCTGCAGCCCCACTTACTGCATCTGTCCCGCATAGTGCTCCCATTTTCAGTTCCACTACATAAACTCATTAATTCACCCTCCACGGCTTTCCACATGTTTGCTCCGACCTTCAGGCTGTGCCTGCAAGCAAAGTGTTGGAAACACAAGAATAGAAGATTTCTTAACTGTTCCTCCAACTGATTGAAAGGCTTAGCACAAAGCATCAGTAAAAGACCTTGGACAAATACAATCTTCTCACGTGTTTCTTTATGAGAGGCATGTCTTTTAACTCTTCTGTCTCCACTGTGCTCCCCCCCACAAAGCACCAAAAGTTGTCAGCACAGTGATGGACCCTCTGTTAATAGACATCTGTAGAGGGGATCAGACATACATGGGTTTCACCATTTCGTGTTGTGTCTTTCTATTGGAGATGAAGCCATCAGTGGAAACCCACAAGCTTTCCAGTAGAAAAAAAAGGGTTATTGACTGCTCCACAAATACTGAATCTGTTGGGCTGGGAGGCTTGAGGAGCATTCACATGCTGGACTAAAAGGAACCTGGAAGTCTTGGCATGGCTTCAGAAGCAGTCCCTTCAGCTTGGGGGAAGCTAGCACTGGTCACTGAATCATTGCAGTGGCATCCCATGCGTTTCTGTTGAGTAGAGGCAAGGGTGGAGAGACCCAGGGAGACCGATGTTTTGCAGGAGGGGTTGCCAAATGGCTACTGTAGGCCACGGCATGATTAAAGAGGCTTACTCAGGAAAATGTCACCAGTATTTATAAAAACAGAGATGTGCTAGGCTTTGAGTACAGCTAGCATTTTTAATTTTGTACACTCAAAAATAAGTTAAATTATCAAACTTAAATCACGTCAAACATACCATACCACGGTCCTTTCCTAGCCCACTCAAATTCACTTAAAACTTTTTCTCCGAGAAAGTCATGGGGAAAGATAAACCTAAAAATGTATTTTGAAGGTCAGAAGGGCTCCGAGATCGGAGCGTGTGAACTCAAAGCCTGAGAGTTTTGCAGCAAAAGGCATTACTCCTGTTACTTTCATCAAGGAGATATATTGCCCAGGTACGTCCTCTAATGTTAACACGTGCCAGGTCTCATAAAGTCTGAGAGGCAGCTTATAAAATAAGCAGATCTCTGGGTCGTTTGGTGCCTCTGGATCAAAAGCAACACCTTGGATGGCCTCTAGCGTTAAACTGGAAGGCGGCGCAGGTAAAGGGAGCGCAGGTGCAACAGGATCCCCAAGGAAGCGGCGTAGAGTAAAGCAGTAGCACGAGGCAAAGTTCAGACTAAGGGTGTCGGCGTGATTACGGGGAGGAAAGAGGAATAAACGCGAGCTCCCGGTGAGCATGAAAAGTTGGCGAAGCGGCAGAAAACCCAACCGCGGGCGAATACGTGCATGTGGAAGGGAAAGGGGACCAGCTGGCCTCTGAGCGGTGGTGACGGTGGGTCCCTGATTAGGTCAGCTTTGGAAGGCTGATAATTGGTTCCAGCAATTACCAGCAGCCCTGAGAACCGCCGCTCAAACTTCGGGAGCCCTGTGACAAATTGAAGCTGACTGCTGGTGAAGGAGTATCGACTTCCCATTTCTAAACAGGGGGATCATTAGTCAAGAAAAGCATCTTTTAATTACTCGCAGGAAGGGGAAAAAAAAAAAGGAGGAAAAAAGGAAAAAGATCTTTCAGTATGGATCCTGCAACAACTGCCGTTTTTTTTCCAAGTGTATTCAATATTAAATTTATTGTCTTGGAGGGGAGGGTGTGAGCAGGGAGAGTTTGCCTGCGGTCCCTCCTTCGGTAATGTGGATTTAATTTGGAGTGAGAAGTCAAATTAGAGTAAATCAATGTTGCGACAATTAACTGGGTCTGGGGATGAGATCAGGATTTTCCCCTCTAATTGCTATTGATACTATTTAAGCACACTCTTAAAACATTGATTTGGAGTGGTGCGACATGGGAGTAGCTCAGTGGGGCAGGGGCAGAACCGCTCCATGGAGGAATGTTGGAGATGTGGTGAAGCCAGCCTGGGGAGTCTGCGCCATGTTTCGCCTGGGCCTTTTGCACTGGTATGTAGATCTCCTACCAGCTATTCAGCTTTCTTCTGGACACAGCTCACATGCTTTCCTTTCTCCATGTACTATTCTTGCCCATGCGGCTTCTGGTTTTTAGACTTGCTTGCCACCGTCGACTTCCTAAGATGTTGTTGGCCTTTTCCAAATGAGATGAGCTGCCAC